GCCGACGCTCGCCGCGCCCGCAACTCTTTTCACATTTCATGAGGCGGCGGCGCTGCCAGGCCAGGCAGTCGCTGCCGATCGGCTCTTATTTTCCACACGCTCAGGCCTCACCCTCGCCTGCTCCCAGACGCGGCCATTTGCAGCCATTATTAAAGTCATATTTCACAGCCTGGTTCATAAAACGGCTTCAGATTAGCGGGTTAGCTTGGAGTGAGCGGGTTCGTACCGGGCTCTGGGCCTTGGCTTCTGTTCACATGGCGGCAGATTTCCTTACGCCGTAAATACGGAGCTGATGGAGGCTGAAGGTGTGAGCGAGGCGCTGCTTCAGTGAAAAGCTGAAGTTTGTCAGGAAAAGTTCGAGGCTGCAGAGTTTTAATAGATCAAAATGTCTCTACTTTAAGAAACGAACCAACAGAAAGCAGCTTTAACGCAACACTTGTCTTGAGTCAGAGGTTGAAATTCATTAAATTAAATCAGACTTCTTAGTAATTCAGTTTTTCCTGTAGTTACTTTCGCTGTTGCCTTGCAGGGAAACGGTGGTGGGTTTGAATCCCAGGCTGAAGTTTTTCTGCATGCAGTTTGCACGTTTTCCTTGTGGATTCATGGATCCTCTCTCCATAAAAAACACGACTGTTACGGTAATTGGCCTCTCTAAGTTTGTAGGTATGAGTGTGTGTGTGTGTGTGTGTGTGTGTGTGTGTGTGTGTGGTTGAGTCATGTAATGCTGGACAGAAACGCAGACAGGAGCTCTGTGTTGCCATTTAAGGCATCAGTTTTACAGCCGGGATGTTAACTCGATAGTTTTCATTATGACATCGATTTGAATGCATTAAAAATTTTCAATTATATTTTTTTAAACAAACACATTTCTGGAACTTGTTTATTCACATGTTTCTGGTACGACCCTAAATCTGATGCACAAGTTGATCTGCAAAAAACACAAATAAACGACAAAACTGATTCTCTTGGCCCAAATCCAACATTTCACACAATTAAAAAAAAACAGATTTGATCCTCTTCCAGAAGTGGAAGTAAATCGTATCCAATAGTGTTCAAATCGTTGTCGCATTTTATCTGAGTTTTACATCGTTGATGTGAGACGAGCGTCATAATTCCAGACAGTAGTAATTAAAGCCAGACAGTAAATCTGGATGGAAACAGCAGCTGAAAATGATAACAATGACGAGATGAAAGCTGTCTGAGTCAGTGAACGCATCACGATGCAACCCCACCACACCTGGTCCGAGTCCACGTCCAAACACAACCGGGTCAGAACCGGGTCAGAAGCTGCAGTCAGTGCTCCACTAAAAGCTGTTGCTGTTAGCTGTTAGCTAGCCTGAAGCCCTGAATCTGATCAGAATATAGGTAGTGCTGCTCTGCTGTTGGAGCTGCTTCAGGCATCTGCTTTGCTCAGGCAGGTGAAACCTCATCTGTGCAAACAGAGTGTCTGCATAGCACGACATGAGAGTAATTAATGTTATTAAGATAGTTGCTGCAGCATTAAATATTCTGCCTTTTACTTCTGTCTTCTGATTATCTGGAATTTTGCGACGTATTTTGGACCAGACAGAAACTGCTGTCCTCTCAGAAACGTTTTGATCTTCTTCCTGTGAAGAGTGTCAGGAAAAGTCCTGATCCTTCAAATGAAATCCTGATTCATCCATCCAACTCCTTCACTTTTACACTCACCTGGTTTCCTGAGGGATTTTCTCTTTTTCTGGTAAATTAGCAAACAGCCAACGATCTGGAATTGGTTCTGTGGGTCGGTGTGATGGGCCGTCCCAGATGTCAGGGCTGGCATGTGGTTCCATGTTTCCATCAGATGATCAGTCAGTCCAACCCGCCCAGTAGGAAAGTCAGGCGTTTTTATGTGAAAAGGGTCTTGAACAAATCTGACTGGAGGTGTAAACAGAGAAAATAATAAAGAAACCTCATCAATCAAAGTCGACTGTGAAGTGTTAGAACTAATTTAAACCTGATCGTTAAATTCACAATTAGCGCCAGGTATTATTTTAGCTGCACTCAAATTACCTCCAAATCTCCTCCTGCCCCTGAACGCCACATGAGGAGCAAATTACTATTAGGTTTGACTAAAAATGCCGCCCATGTGAATCCAATAAAGCTCGCCCTCAGATCCTAACCGCCCGGGTGTTTCAATGTTTCCCTTGTATACAAGGCCAGCAACACGGCTGAACAATGTGTCCCTGCATCATAAACCTCCTCAGTGCGCTCTTTAAAGTTTACATCCTGTTTTCCTCAGAATGCAAACCGGTCGGGTTCGAGGAGGGAAGAGAAAACATTTGGAGTAGCTGCAGTGATCTGGGTTAAGAGAAGCGATTACCGTCTCTCCAAAAACACTGAACTGATTGTTCAAAGCTCCAAAACCTGCTCATGCTTTCCTAAAAGCGACATCTTGTGGTTTGGTGAATTAAGACTTCAAAATGAAAGAAATAAGAAGGAACAGAGGGAAACGTGAGATGTGACAGCTAATGATCGCCCACAGCCATCAGACTGTCAACCAGAGAAAAGTTATGAAACACAGAGGAGAATCCTGCAGTGTTGGGATGAAGAAAAGCAGATTTTCATCATTTCATATTCAAATTTACTCAGTTTCTGTTCCTGTGGACTCCACCTTCACTCTGGATAGAGACGCTGCTGCAACGTTGGTGGTTAAACTAAACCTGCTTCACATGAATTAAGATGAGCAGTGGAGGCCTTAGAACTGCCTGATGATGTTCATATATACAGCATATATATATATATATATATATATATATATATATATATATATATGCTGTAAAAGTTAGTTACTTTTATAGCACAAGTAACTAACTCAAGGTAGCATAGCTACTTGTGCTATAAAATGCAACAATGTGCCTGGAAAACACATGAAAACACATAAATTGATCATTTTTAGACTGTTTCAGATGTTAAAAGCAAAAGTTTGGATCACAATCTTTTGATTTAACAGGTTAATGGAATGAAATGAAACCCAATCCTGCACTCTGCACCTGAACCTGGCACTTCTCTTAATGGTTCCTCCTCCTCTTCCTCCTCCTCCTCCTCCTCTTCCTCCTGTCCCTCATTTAAAACTCACTCTGTCCTCGGCTCTGCTGGTTAACAGCAACAACGATTAACTCTTCAGCACATCTGTATTAAATACAATATAAAAATCAGCTAAAGAAAACTGCTAAACACAGCAAATGAATTAGTTGTATTTTTCTTGAGCTGTTAAAAATAAATATATGATTTAAATATATGATTAAAAACAGGACAACTATAGATGTCTACTCTCTATATCCAGACATTATTTCACCTAAAATTATGAACAGAAGAAAAATATGGTAGGATATTGGTAATATAGTGTAGTATGTATTTCTTGACACTTTGCTCTTTGTACTTCTGTCCAGGTTCAGTAACTCAGTTATATTCTCATTGTAACAACAAGCTGAACTCTCCAACATGCATGAAGAAAGAAATACTGCCAGGTCTCAGCCGTGCGTAAAATGATACCCAGCTTTATAAAAATAACACTCCAGCTGAACGTTTTTAGCACAAGTTCATCTCCAGATACGATGGCACAGATTTATGAGGAAAAATCTAAATATTAAACTGATACACCGACCCAAATGACGCAGCAATGACTTGATATTACTACACTATGCAGGTGCTCAGTCAGCGCTGCTGAAGAATCACTCGCCTCCACATTCTGAGCTGACTAACAGATTAGGTCGGCTGATGATTATCTGACCACTAGGAGGCACTGATGGAGCATCGAACTTTATTTGCTGACTTTGTGAATTTAACGATCAGGTTTAAATTAGTCCTAACACTTCACAGTCGACTTTGATTGAACTTTATTTGGCTGATCCTTAGACGAAGAAGAAGAAGAAAAAGAAGAAGAAGAACAAGAACAAGAAGAAGAACAAGAAGAAGAAGACACAATAAAAGTAGATTTTCATCCTACATCCTTACATTAATTGTGTTTCAAAGATATTAAGGAATTTCAGGATTCACAAAATACATTTTATTTCCTCGCACCGATTTTTGATGCTAAAATTTAAGAAGCTTTAATTTGAAAATAATTCGATTTTTAATGACTAAATTCATCTGTAGCTCTGAATCATACTGAAAAAACTCAAGAATATGAGGTTGGATGAAAACATCACTTAAGCAACACTTAATTGCCTCCCAAATAAAGTTACCACCCTCGCTCACACTGAACTCTTTACCGCCCCCTAGCTTTTGGAGTCTGCACTGCTGCTGCAGTTTATTACATTTTTCTAACTTTTACTCCAATTTCTACCCAATGTTTGATGTAAGATGCGGTGTCTCCATGTTGATTTCATTTTAAAAAGCAAATATTTCTACAAATTGAAACAGTTCTGGTGCATAGCTGCACACAGAACCATGCCAGATCTGATCCAGCAAATCTCGTTGCTGTAAAACGTCTTGTTGCGAGTAGATCAGCAGGACTCTGCAGCTTTCCTGTGCTGCTAAAAGCAAATCTGGCAGCAGAAGTTACTGGTTATCCCTGCTTCACCGAACACACCTCCAGGGATTCAGAAACAGATGTTTTACATGACATACATAGCTGTCTAAAACTAGACCTGAGCCAGCCCTGAACTAGAATTGAACCTGAACTAGAAACAATTTGACCAAATGACAAAAAAAACAAACAAACAAACAAACAAAAAACAATACGAAAAAACAAATCTGAGTCTGGAAAACTAAACTCTCGGATTTAATGTGAAACATTTATTTTTTGGATTAAAAGCCAGTTAGAGCAGCTTTTTTATTGACAATTACCAAATTATGCTGTGGTTGTTTTGTTGGAACATTCATTTTTCAGAACTGGTTGTAAATTAGGAAGCATTTTGCAGTTTTTCTCATGTGTCGTTTAATAAAATAACCCAGTTACAGGAGCTGGCTGCACACACTTCCCCCCCAAACACCACAACACTTCACTGGGATCCACAAAATGTAGCCGAATAATAAACTGCTGGCATCAAACCTCCACTTATTATGCCGGCCGAACCCCCGCCGGCAAGAAATGAGCTCTGCCTCCCGAGATCAAGAGGCAGGAAATACCTGCAGCCGAAAGGCCGAGGCGCTCCGGTCCCTGCAGATTTACTGCAGAGGCTAATGGCTCCGAGCGGGGCCCTTTCCCCTGGCCTCCTCCTCATGAATACATCACATGTCACTCACAGAGGGCCCAGACACACACACACACACACACACACACACACACACACACACACACACACACACACATTCCTGTCTCACCATCCCTGTATGGACTTGCATTGACTTCCATTAATTTCTGTAACAAAACCCTGACCTTTTCCCTAAAACTAGCCACCTCGTGTATATACCTATCCCTACCACAAAAGTTGTGTTTTTACATTGTGTGGACATAGTAAAATGTCCGCATAACAAATAATGCCCACACAATATTGGCAAAACATAGGATCTTATTTTAAGTAAATAATATTTAAATATTGATTTTAAAAGTACAAGTTCCACTTATGGTATTACATTTTTCCTATGTAAAGTTATGTTTTTACATTGTGTGGACATGGCAAAATAAGCTTAAAACAAGTAATGTCAACACAGTGCTGGTCGTTAGCTTTTTGGCAAAGCATTGTGAGTAAATAATTAATAAATATTGATTAAAAAAAGTACTTCTTCCACTTATAAGTAGACGTTTTCCCAGGTAAAGTTATGTTTTAGAAATCCTATACAACATGTCTGGTTGTACAGTGTGTGGTGTGGAGCCACACGGCAAAGCCAACACAACAGATTTCACTCACCAACATCCAGACGGCAGACGGCAAATCTCGCAAAGCCTCTCGAGATCAACCGTGAGTTCAGAGTACGAAGAAGAAGCGATGGCGACTGAGACAAAACGATGCTGAGACGTCTCCTTTCCGGTGACGGTGTTAGAAACAAGGCGTTTGGCATTCCTGTTGGTTTTGGTAAGTATTTGCCATACAGCGCGGGGCATTCTGGGTAAATTCAACCAAAACAAACATGCCAGTCTAGTGCTAGCAGGAGGAATGGCTCGAGGTCTTTAAGCAAAAAACCATCCTGCAACCAAATCTGATGCCTCCATTTTTGCCCAGCCCCTCTGTGCGTGTGGATTAACTCGGAGTGCACTTAAGGCTTCGACTGCGTAGATTATAAACGGGCAAAATGTGAGAATTGGGACAGCACGCCCCTGTGTTGTAACTTTGACATCCAAAATGGCGGGACTACTCACTGTTTAGGTGTATGTGCTACTAAAAAAGTACAACTACAATAAAAAATATTTTAAATGTACAGTAAAGGTATTTTTGCTTTCCTACATCATTGCTGGAGATATTTGGCTGTTCAAGTGCATTTTGTTATGACTTGTTGAATACAGAAAATTCAATGTAATCACACACGTTCAGTGAAACAAAATTATTTCAATACTTTACTTTTGAAAACTGATTTTATTCATAAAGGAACATTTTCTCCATCTGTTTGCTTCCCGTGGAGAAAACAACCCGAGGTGATCTTGTCTAAACATGAGCAGAACCAGTTCTGTGATGAGATAAAACCCTCTCAGGTTTGTTTTGGATATTTATTGGGATCCAAATGTGCGGCATCAGACTCAGCTGAAGTGAAAACATAAATTTATGAACTCGCTCTGTGTCTGTGTGGAAATCTCCTCTGATACCATGATTTATATCATGATACATGATATATGTTATAAGGATATAACATATATCATGTTATATCCTTATAACATGATATAAATGATACCATGTTATCAGCAGTGCGGATAACGTCTGCGCTCCTTAAATGAGACGCAGAAAGAAAAAGGAGCAGCGATGACGATCAACAGCCTTCTTCACTAGAACGCTGCTGGGAATCGCTGGATTCTTGGAAAGCTGAAGGACACAGTGGGAATAAACAGATTCAGAACGACCCAGAGACAGAGAGGAGAGCACAGAGACAGTCAGGACTTAAAAAATCTTCACGTTTTCCTCAAGAAGTGCAGAGGAACAGCCCAAGTTCCGGACTTTGACTGGGCCACTGTAACAGCTTGGTTATGGATTAAAGCCTCAGCTGCTGAGCAGATGTTCATACTTTGACTTAAGGTTCTCTGGAGGAGGAGCTCATGCAGCTGCAAATCAGTCCCACATCATCATCTCTCCACCACCGTGCCTCACAGTCAGAATGCTGATCTTTACTTGTCTCCAAACACGGTTCTGCTTCTCTTCGTTCGGGTCAAACATCTCCACGTTGGTCTCATCCAGCCCGACCACCGGGCCTCAGGGCCTCCAGATGGGAAGGATTTCCTCCGCCTTGTGTTGTGGTGAGCGGATTATCCGTCAGCCGCTGCTCAGCGGGAAGGTTGGAGTTTGAAATCCAAGTTTTTCTTCTTTTCTTCGGTTTTCATTTTTCATGCGGGGCCTGCTTGAACGTTGGTGTGAGCTGCATCGCCATACGTCATGGTTTTTATTCAGCTCGCAGATTAAAACCTCCGCAGTCAGCAGCACCTGATCCCGGCTCAAAGCTGCGCTCACTGGATGAAATATTACATGTTCAGAACCGAACCGGGTCAGGGGAAAGAAAGTCTGTAACGAATCCCTGCCTGGAGGCCTGAGCGGAGCTGAGGCGCAGAAAAGCACTTTGAGAGGCTTGACGACACGCTGGGAGAAAGAAGAGGCAGCCAGCTCATCATCATCTGATCTATTTCTCTGCACTGACATGATTTACTGTGAGAACTGAGGAGAAAGCGGATCCTCCAGCGGATCCTCCAGCGGATCCTCCAGCGGATCCTCCGGGAAAACGCCGCTGCTCTCCTCGCTGGAAGCTCCCGGCTCTGGAGTCGGACCGACCGAGTTCCTCCTCTCTCCAGATCCCAGAGAGGATCCAGCTGATCCCCCGCTGCTTTCTCCCGGAGGTGTTTGCTGTCGCCACGGGACGCAGCGAGCCGCAACACGGAGGCAGGCCGTCGGCCTGCAGGGCTGCTAGCGGCCTCTAGAGGCCGAGCGGGGCATTACAACCTGAGACCTCAATGCAACGACAGAGCTTTACAGGAAAGGCCTCAATAAAATGAAAATAGACAAATAATTTCTAAATGCATCATGAAATAATACATTTATCTAAAATATTCTATATTAATATGATAATATAATATTAATATAATTATAGTATATATATACATAAAATATGTGATTATATACATATGTGCGTGTCATAAAATAAATAGCATCATAGACATGACAAATTATAATACAAATGACAAATAAATGTATAATAAAATACCAAATATTTACATAATAATAAAATGAATTTAAAGGTTTTCAATAAAAAGACTTAAATAAAATGTATGTTAATTTTTTAAAAATTATTTAGAATATGCAGATGATGCCTGTCTTCCTACTTATCTTAAAATAACATACTTTTCATAATATTGAATAGAACGTAGGAAGCACAAAAATTTTAGAACATAATGAAAGAAAAGATGCAAATGGAAATAATCCACTGATGACTAAAACTGGTAAAACTTATTTGTATTTTAAGTTTTTCTTTTAAAACAAATTTATTCCCAAACTAGCAGCAAATTGCATGGTCTTGTCCAATCAGGTCGTTTAGAAGTCGGAATTAAAACGCAGTGGGCCGAGAGGAGCAGCTTCATCGCTGCTGTTGGCAGATGCAGTTTATGCGTCAGATGTACAGACGTACCAGAAACACGCAAATACAAAAGTTCCGGCCGGAACCTTCGTATGTAGAAAAGAAAAGTGCGACTAGTTGCCTTAAAAATTAAATTGATGTAATTATTTAATCAAAATTAAAGTCCCGGCCCTAAATAATAATGATGCTAAATGTCCAAATAATCCTGGCAGTGTGTTAAAACACACTCTGGTCAGTAGAGCAGTCGTCTGAAAATGTAAAGGTTGTGGGTTCGATTCTGGCTTCTCCTCTGATGTTGATGTACATTTCATAGAGATGAGAAACTGAGAACAGAACTTTTTCATTCTGTGCCGTGACAACAAAATGAGGACGTTATATCTAACACACTCAGTAAAGAAGAGTTATCCTGTTAAAGCACCAGGATCTGCTGACAGTTCCTGGGATTCCAAGCAAAGCAGATGAAGCCAAACAGTTTTTCTCAACAGTGTCATTGAAGGAAAGCAGTCATTTGTAATTTGCAGCTTTGGATATTATGTTTTATTATATTTTCATTGGGACAGTCGGCGTTTCATGTGCGAGCCGAAGCGTTCCCAGACACAAACTCTGCATTTGATACGCCCGGTGTGGGTTTGAAAGGCTGTGCGCCGCTGGCGTGACGGGACAAATTAGTGTTACTGCAGCTAATGTATTCAAGCGGCTGCAGGCCGCGCTGAGCTCCATTAGAAACGATAGCTCTGACTGTCAGCGACGCTAACCGCTCCTGAAAAGGTGACGGCACATTTGGCTGCCATTAGCCGCCGCAGCTACAAGTTTAACTTTGGGCCATTTTGATCTTTAATTCATGCTGGATGTGGAAACGCAGGGAGGGTCATCTCACGCCAGGCAGCCGGGCCTCACAGGAGCGGGATGGATGTCCTCTGGACGGGTTTCATCCAGACAGAACCTGACAGAACCTGAAGACAAGCCAGCCCTGATATATGAAAACAGGCTCTGTTTGTTCAAACCGGGCCGGTATCTGATCCACCTCAGGCTCCAGCTGAAAACCATTAAACCAAAAACAATCTGCTGCCTCTGCTGTTTAGAAAAACACAATAATCCTGAGGAGAATTAGTCCCAGGAGAGGACAAGGTCTTCCTCATCCCGCAGGTCGCCCACCAGGGGTTTATGCTTAACTGTAAATAATTTGTTGCTTTTAATGATTTATTTAAACGGCTCTTCTTCCAGAGTGGAAAGGTTATAGGTTTCAACACAGCTCTGAATGTATTATGGATTTTCTCTGTTCCATGCTGTTTGTAAAGCCACACAGTCAAAACTTTTTTTAAGCCTTTTATCAGAGGAAAACGATGGAGATTCACTTTTCAAACTGATATATTCACCTTATTGTTATTCATTCATTTACAGTTAATTAAAAAATGCTTAATTAGCTAGATAAATATTTATTTTGAAGCTAAACATTTGCTCTGTGAATTTAGCTTGCTAAATAGCTCCAAACTAAATATTTTATACTATTTGGTAGAAAGCTAAATATTTAGCATCTAAGTAATTTAACATCTGTTTATTTGCATTTGGTTGATTTTGTCAACTGTCAGTGTTGGGTGATCCAAACTGAAAATTATGGCCAACAAAATAATTTAAGATTGTTTAAATTATTCATGTTTCTGAGTTTAAACCGCAACAATAAAATATTCCAGTTTCTATAGTTTAATGTTTTATTCATAAAAAATGCAAAAACTGAAAGACGAACAGATGGATACTCACCAAAATAAATGCAAAAATGAGATGAAATTGTTCATTTTTTAATAAATACAGTTTATTCATAATTTTATTTGCTCGGTGCTGATTGAAGCAAAATTAAAAACTCTTTATTTGACCGTATTTAATAAAGTTATTTTCTCAGTTATAGGATGGAGGATGAGAATAAAGTTTAATTTTCAGCAGAACTTTAGTTAAAGAGAAACATCATCCATAAAAATATAAAACAAGAATATTTACATCTGATGCAGCTCTTCACTGCAGCTACAGGCCCTGACCGTCGCATGAACGTCCAGATTCACCTTCACCTCTCAGACAAACCCGGCCAGCATGGAAACAGAACCAGGACCATGTTTTTCCAGAACCTTAAAACCCATCTGGTGTGGACTGAAACGTTTCTGAGAGGAGGCTGTTCACTTCATGGCCATCATCCAGACGGGCATGATGACCTCTGGGAAGCCTTCCTGCCGCTCCACGGCCAGGATGTCCAGGCCGGCCTTGGACACGATGACCTTCATGATGTCCAGGTGGCGGCTGATGCTGCTGTCGATGGGGTCCAGCTTGCAGCCCTGCCGCGCCATGTTGTCCTTGATGATGAGGACGCCGTTGGGGCGGAGGCTCTTCTTGCAGCGAATCAGGAAGTTCAGCAGGTCTTTGTCCGTCAGGTGGCCTGAAGGAAGAGAGGCCGAGCCGTTAGCCGGGTTACTTCTGACCCAAAACTTCTGAAGTGGTTGATCAGAGCCGGCCCAAGGCACATGCAAGCCAAGCAACCACCAGGGGGCCCCCAAGAACATTATAAAATGTATATATACACTTAAAATAACATTTCATAATACCCATTAAATGCTGTTGGAAAAATGATTCCCATTGTTGCTATTGCTGTTTCACAAAGTAAAAGCTTCTGCCACTTTTAGGAAGTTTAAGATTTCAGACTTGTTTACTTCTTACTGTAAACATGTTTATCAGCTGATTTCAGGTAGTTAAAATAATTTGGCACATTTAATGCCGCCCTGCATTTCCAGTAAAATATGTTTTATAGTTTGTTTCGTCTGTAAGACTGAAATCAGTCACCATCATTTTTTTGACTAATTTTCTGTCCAGTATCCGATAGCCGGGTCGAAGCGGACCGGACCAGAGCCGGGTCGAAGCGGACCGGAGCCGGGTCGAACCGGACTGGACCGGAGCCGGGTTGAACCGGACCGGAGCCGGGTCGAACCGGACTGGACCGGAACTGGGTCGAACCGGACCGGAGCCGGGTCGAACCGGACCGGGTCGAAGCGTACCGGACCGCAGCCGGTCGGTGTGAATGCTCTTCCAGATTTCTCCGTGGATCAGTCGAAGCTGGGATCGGGGTGATCTCAGTGACGAGCAGGAAGTACTCACACGCCACCCACTGCATCCAGATGACGTCGTACTTGTTGCGGGGGGGCGTGAACTCCTGCAGGTTGAAGCAGTAGTAGGTCTCGATGCGGTCGGCGGCGTCGCCCAGATACTCCTCGTGTGCGTGGAGGAGGAAGTGCTCCATCATGTCGGCCATCTCGACCTTCTCAAACACGGGAAGAAGGACGGCCTTGGAGACGCGTCCGATCCCGGAGCCGCAGTCCAGAGCGCGGTGTGTCCCGGCTTTACCCGGCCCCTGTAGGAAAGTGGGAGACCTTACATCAACGATGCGTCAAAGTGTGACTTCAAACTTCGTTCCCTAAAGGTTTTGATATTTCTGATTGTTTTATCTCCCGTTTCTGATCTTCATGTCACAAAATGTTTGAGATTTAGGAACTGAAATGGTTAAAAACCAATCATCTGTCGTAAAATTCTCCTGAAACGTGGTTGAATCTGACATCAGGATGGGAGTGTAAAGTTATTTTCCATATTTAAAATCTCCGTAAAGCTCTGTGCTGGTTGCCGAGGCGTTTGGGTTCAGAAGAGCCAACAGTTCGGCTCCTCAGGGCTTCAAAGCAGTGAACTTTACCACCAGTCAGCAACTAAAAGTCAGCTCGACTTGAATCACGGCGGCTTTTCTTCCCTTTGGTTTGCTGTTCTGACCTCAGCCCAACCCTTCTGTGTCGGGGGCCCCTGGGTGTGATCCGATGGAGGAAGGGGCCCCTGAGGAGCCCCTGGTTTCAGTGAATTACTGCCACATTTTTCTGCCTGTATTTATACATCTGCTTAACACGGACGGATTTTTCTGCCACTTCTGATGCTCGTGAAGGTGTTTGTATTTAAAAATCCTGTGTAAATATAAAAAAATAAAGTTTTTTTCTCTAAAGAGTTAATTGTATTAAAGTGAACGATTAGCAATTAGCTGTACTTTCTGTGTGAAGTGGCTTCTCAAGTACGGAGGGAAATTTCTGCAACCACAGACTTAAAGTTTAAAAAGTGGAAAATACTGGCTGGTTTTCACATTCTCAACCATGTGGTCATAATTTAAAGAGAAAATGGTCAAAGTAAACAAGTAGCTTCCTTTTTAACTGGAAATGAACATCCAGGGAATACAGCAACATTTACAGATTTTATGGTGTTTTAAATTAAAAAGCAAACATTATAAATCATGGCCTCTTCGGGAAGAAATCCTTTTCCTGCTTTGAGCAGAATAAAATGATCCGACATGTTGGCAGTGACAGCTGGGATTATTGTTTTCTGTCATTTATCAAATCCTAATAAAATACATGCAACGTTTACTCAGTTTAGTCCATTTTATTCATATGGTAAAGTAATGTTATTTATACAGCACATTTTCAGCAACAAGGCAACCAAAGTGCTTATGAAGCCAAATTAGAACATCTCGTCTAAATCAGTTTAATCCAGTTAGCAGTGGAGGCTAACAGGCTAGCTCCAGTTAGCAGTGGAGGCTAACAGGCTAGCTCCAGTTAGCAGTGGAGGCTAACAGGCTGAAGCAACGCCCTGATCATAACCGTCAGCTGCTCTCGCTCTGAAGCGACTGTAGGAGCCCAAATTCAGTTTTACTCCATTCAATTTGGGGATAAATTAAGTTTATATTCCTTATGATAATTCAGGTTCATTAATATAAAAATGACTGTTTACCAGTTAAAACTCGTGTAAGAATTTATTACATCACTAAGGCTCTCTTACATATATATGCACTGCTTACTTATTAAGCAGTGGAGGGGACACAGTTTCCTGACCTCATTATTCTTTTACTCTTTATTGTAAAGAGTAAAATTACATCTGTATCATTTTTAAGTAAACAGTTGAAATGTGTGAAGAGGATCCATTCCAGTTTTCTGAAAGGAAAATATGGAGAGAGTCAAGTTTATGGTTTCATTAATTAGGATCCTACAGCAAGTCATGATTTAGCAGGAGCTAACAGAAAGTGCTAATTTCAACCATGTTGAATTAGCCAGTAGAATTAGTTCTGGGAATAAAACCCATCAGTTTGTGTTTATGTTCTGACTGTACTGCAGTGTCAGCCAGTAGCAGCGCCTGTAACTCCTGAGCCGTGCTGTGTTTATATTAAAAGCTCTTTAAAGCACAAAGTGTTGGCAGTTTATAATTAGAGCAGCTGTTTAACAGATCCTGGATATAAGCAGGTCTCTGGGCCAAACATGTCCCCAGAATTAGCAACAGCAGCTAAAACAAACCTCCTCAGACGCGTCATGTGCCGCATGCATGCGCCCTGCCGCATGATTATTATTTATATTCATCTAGACACATTTGTCTCTGTCGAAGACAACATAAGGGACGTTTTATCAGCTTTGTTAGTTATGAATCTAATTTATAACCCGGTTTCTGGAGCAACAGCAGCTTTTAGATTCTGTAAAACCTTTGATTTTCTAGGAAAGGTGCAGAGCCTTTAAAAATGCCGCCTTAAAATCTGAGACATAATGTGCATAACGCCAGAGGACCGATGTCAGAAATGATCACCATTTAATGTTGCTTTAAGAAGCCGAGCTTCAACGTTCTGGTGGTAAAACAAACGACAGACACGCGTCGTCATATTAACGATCAGCTACCAAGATCCAAATAAAAGCATGAAGTTTTATGATCTTATTTAAATAGATTTACTCAGAAAATTGACTCAAATCTTCCACCGACAGGTTGAAATTCATCTCAGCCGTAACATTTACCTCATCCAGATGAACATTCAAATCTTTAGTTTTTAATAAAATAATCAATCAAAAAGTCTTCTTGCAGAAGAACCGACGGTCCTCCAAACCCGACCAATCAAACCGACTTTGATAAGAAAAAGGATCGTTTTTTTGTTCTTTTTTTGAAAAGTTCATTTTGCTCGTCTCCGGCTCACGTGTTGAGAAGTTGCCTGTTACTTAAAGGAAACATGTCCAGCACTTCACTGACTCATGAAGTCAATATGGATGATTTTATAAGATACTGGAAGCAGCACTGTGTACTTTGCAGTGCCTTCCCCTTGTGCCTGTTCTCCGACTCAAAAAAGGAGGAATTTATATGTGAAACACAACAAGGAGAAAAGAAAACGAGGAACGGACATCGACGACTCATTTCCCATCGTTCCCATTGTTTGGACATCAAAACTCTACCATAAAATAAATACTGATCAGAACCAAGTTTGGCCCATTTTTACTGCTCTTCCCAACTGACCCGGATTCTGATGAGGCCCATTTAGCAAATATGTTTAGTAAACAGAAAAAGTTTTGCCGTTCGTACAGCTTTGTTCAGGGCATTTTGGTATTTATTTTAAATTGCTGACTTGTTTCCGTCTAGTTCAAACAATAGATGTAGACTTAATGATGGATCAGCTTCAGTTGGTTTCAAACCCTTAACCAGTAAAATAAAACCCGACTCTAAAGTCCAAATGGGAGAAAGAAGAACTTGTTAGAACAGTCATGCTGCTGGCAGCTCGCTCGGTCTGGATGTGTCATGATATGTGGCTTTGGTTTGGATCTTTCTTTTGTTCTTTTATTACCAGATCTTGCCATTTTACTTTATTTCTAGATGTGTCATGATATGTGGCTTTGGTTTGGATCTTTGTTGTTTTATTACCACTTCTTGCTGTTTCAGTTTATTCCATTGTGTTAGCTCCTTTATGCGTATTCCTATCTGCATTTGGGCTTTTCTTCAGATTGCTGTTCTTCCAGTTTATTAGTTACCTTCAGGTTCTGTCCTGGTTTATCGCTCACCTTTCGCTCAGCCCGTTTCCCTCCGCAGCTGTTTTTCATCTCCTGATTCCCGCTGCCTGCGCTCTGCCGCAGCTGTTTCCACTCACCTCTGATTAGCTGCTCTGGTTTCTTTGTCACTAGCTGTGTTTCCATTACAGATGTGCGTAAAACTTTGTCGATATTCCGCTAATGTCGAAAAAACACAATTTCACAATTGCGGTGTTTTCCATTAAATAAGAAATGCAATTAAAATCAGACGTAAATAAGTTGATTCACGCAATAATCCGTTTCGGCTAAAGGTTTTTTTCTTTTTCATCAAGTTCTGGTCTGCAAACTTATCATGATGGGATGTTGAGCAAATTTGATCTGCTTTTCGGAACTACGCATGAATCCAGGTGAAATTATTTCTGCAGAGACGGGATGACGAATTTCTCTCCCAAAATAGACTCTGATATTCGGCGGCCAGCAGCAGAGAAACCAGAAGCTGCAGCAAAGTGCAAAGCTGACGGAGAAGCAGCAGAATGATCAGGTTTCCTCTGAAACCAGAAACCGACGATGTCTCAGTGCAGAGCTTCTCTGGTGGCCGAGTTATTTCAGCAAGTAAATATTTCAGGCTGTCGCCTCTTCATTCAGATAAAAACCCCAAGAAATATTTATATTTCTATCCATCAAGAAATATGTTAAAAGCAGCGATAAAGTGAATTAAACAAATTTCATTTTAATTTTTACATTTTATTTATTTTACGTAATTTTTTAACTTTTCCAAAAAAGAAAAAAAAAACAAACAAACACAAGAATAGGTAAAGAATATTTAAATTCCTGCCAAAGGAAATAAACTATAGAAGTTTAAGCTTATTTTACTTTCACTTTGTTTTAAATAAAGCATCAAAATTAAACAGCAGAATCTTTCCTGTTTATTTTTATAAAACGTAAAGGAATTTCAGATATATCTGTAGAAAAACTCACAAAATAAAACATAATCATCTTTAGTGACTGATTATGAAAATATGAAATTATTTTCATTTCTAAATTTAAAGAGTGAAAACCAGTGTTGGCTCCTCAGCTGCGGCTCTTTCGTCCTGCTGGGCTAACAGAGCCTGTAGTGCTGTTGAGCAACTCACCACAAACCTCTTCAGAAACTGACGGGAGCTTTCCAGATCGACGTTGGAAATCTCAACGAAGTCTCCCATCATGCCCTCCTCGGAGGCCGGAACGTCTTCGTAGAACTTCTGCGCTCGGTAGTAGAACTGCTTCTCTCCCTTGATGAACTCACAGGTGACGGGAAACAGCTTCACTGTGGAGACCGGAGAGACACGCAGGCCGTCAGCTTTAAACACTTTGTCTCGTCATTTTACAGGGATATCATGAAGGGAAAGTTCAGCGCCCCTGAAGGGACGATCGGACCACCAGAGCCTCAGAATGCCACCCAGTCCCTGCTTGCTGACCAGTCCAACCTGTACCATTCCCCTCCACACCTGTGGGGGCGCTGCACCAAGACCCACTGAGGAAGACACTGAGCACAACTTCCTTCTTCACCAAACGTAAACAAAATGGAAGCATCCGATTTTAGTGATTGGAGCTTTTCTCTTTAGTCTTTAGCTAAAAACCACCAGCCATTTCTCCTGCTAGCGCTAGGCTAAGACATTTGTTTTGGTTGTATTTACCCAGAATACCCTGTGCTATAGTCCACTTCCTGCTTTTGGAGGGGTTTCCGGTCCGCTTGGCGTTCACAGATGCATGTGGGCAGCGTCAGAGCAGTGTTGCCAGGTTGGACAGCTTTCTGCTCAACTTTTGAACACATTTGGCTGGGAAAAAAAATCTTTAGGCTGATTGTTAACATTTGGGCTGCTTTTCACACCATATTTTGAGGTTTAAATAAAAATTATTTCTAAATAGTTTCCAGAAAAGCAAAAAACTTCCAATAAAATGCAGTGCTACTACATTTATGAGTTTATTCATCTATGGAAATCCCAGGGTAACATCTTGATTTAAGAGAACAAAAACTCAAGTCTCATTCTGTCCAGAGATTTGAGTTATTTCCAGTCCCAATGGGAAATGCTTCTGGTCAGAGTACAGAACAAACAAAACGTAAGTGAATTACATATGGGACTATCAACAAGAGTTTCATTTTGGTTGAAATTTGGGCTGGTTTTTGTTTTTGTTGGGAGTTGGACGGGTTTTATGTTGTTTTTGACCTGGAGACATTCAGTCAGACCTGGCAACCCTGAGTTCACTTCAACCGAACTGAAACCGAGGTTTGGAAGCGGACCGGAGTTCAATTTCACATTCATACCTTCCCAAAAGAACCGGACTTTCTAGACAAGAGGACTGAAGTTCGATTAAAACGGACTGGAGTTTGATTTAAAAATCCCGGTGTGAAATTATGAAGGATGAATTTTCAAATTCCGGCTGTTCTCTTGTGCTTTGAAGCAGGAAGTAAATCCTCCTCCTTGATATTTGACTGTATGTCAGTATTTCTGGCCCTGGAGGCCCCGTTAGCCCTCGTACTGTTGCCGTCCGTCTCCAGGGTTTATCTCCGCTCAGCAGATCAGACGCAGCGACAGGCTGAGACAGTTTGGGAGGTCAGTTGTTGAGTTCCTTAATTTCAGATGTTTGCTTTGGATGGTTTCCTGCTTCGAGTATGTTTTCTCATAAAACCATCTATAAATGCTCATCACTGGTTCTAAGGACTTGTGTTATGTCATTTAACAGCTGAGGAGAGCCAGGAGGAGCCGCTCCGCGCCAAGCTAAATATAGCGCTCTGCTAATCTAATTACCATCCAACATTTCCTTGAGGTGGAGATCAGTGGTTCAGAGCAGCCAGCTGTCATGTAGTGAATGTCTCCTCCTCAGCTGCAGCATCCAAACAGCATACTCTCATACTTTGTAGCTTCTTACGTTAATCACTTGATGCCGGCTGCTCTCCAGAGGAAATCCTTCGCGTTTTTGTTAATTTTTAAAGTGCAATAAAAACTTTTATCAGTATTTTATTGGCTGAAATATTTTATCTAAAAATATATACTTTAAAAGTGATAAATGAATTGATTTTAAAAGTTTAAAAACAGAGAAGATCTGTTGATTTTGGGGCATCCAACAACTAATTGTTCATTCTGTACCCAGAATGCATTGCTACTGGTCTCCTGCATGCTTTCTAATTGTGGCTAATAAAACAAAACCAGTAACAGAGTTATTAATATTCAGCTAGGAAACTGGAACTCAGTGAAAGTTCTGCTCTAAAGAATGACTTACTAAAGCATGGCCGTTAAAACTGTAATAGCAACTGTGATCCTGTTGAGGGCGATATAACACGTTGAGTCAACACATAAAGGGTAGTGATATGGCTCAATTTAGCACTTTAGCATTAGCTTATGCTAAATACCATGTTTAACACCTTAACAGAAATGATGTTTATGATTAGGGCTTGTGGGTTAGCGCAGCTAGCTTCTTAGCTAGTGGTATTTACCTGGACCAGTATGCTCTTATGGATATTTAATACTATTACATACATTGATTCTCTGGTTCAGTGAAACACTCCAGTCAGTGTCACATGACCAAACAGACACCACATGACTGACCCTAATCATAAACATTAGCTATGCTAGCACTAAAGTACTACACCAACAAGATAGTTAGCAGAAGCTATCGCGCTAAGTTCAACCCTGTCAAATGTCATTTTAGCGCCTCTCTACCTGAAGAGTTAATAGTTGAAAGGACAGACATTGAACTTTATTCTACTGAAAGTTTACAAAACCTCAAAGTAAATTAGCACTTTAGAATTTTTCTGGGAAAAATAATTAAGAGAAAGCTAAGTGCGCTAGGTGTTTTCAAAGTTAGCAAAACTGCTAACTGAAAAACTAGAGGGATGGGGTTAGGGTAGGAAGTGTGCCCACCGCAGGCAAGAGGAAATCTGAACCTGCTTTGCTTCTGATGTGTTTCCCCCTCAGGACGTGTTCCTGTTCTGAATAACTAACATCCCAATGAAAAGATGTCCGACTTCGATCTGAACGTCCTCCAGCTCCTGTTTGTTTGGATCTCCTGTAACTCGATAATCACTCGTCATGTGACACCTCAGAGGGAGGGTAAGTATAGAAAGTTCGAGCAGGACAAAAACGAAGAGACGACGGCATGACGACACCCGTCTGCCAAGGAAGTGTCACCCCAGAGCCGCCATCTTGATCTGCCTCCCGCCTTCAGAGCCCGGCTCGTTAGGTGCTGACCTTTCAGCTTCTCAGACAGAAGCTGTTCATCAGTGAAGGAAAATAAAAATGTGATGTTTCCAGTTTGAGCTTCGGTTCAGGGGGTTTAATCAGAGATATTTGGTTGAAGGTAGAAATGTTTCGTTAAGTTGTAAATAATAAGCGGGGCCCCGTTACGGTCATGTTGAGCACCAACTGACATGAGTTATTGCTTTCATGCCTGCCATGCCAGGCCATTAAAGGGCTTCACAGCGGCCGAGGCATGGATCATCTCCTGTTTCTGCAGCTTCTGGTCTGATGAGTGACAAGCTTTAAAGAGAGAAGAGCTTCGCTTAGGGTGTCACATTTAAGGTGTGTTGCTTTGTTTCTGTGGATGAAGTTCCTCAGGGCTCTGTGCTGAGACTCCTTAATTTACTTGTAGTTGACAGTTCACTGCAGAGCTGATGGTTGATTCTAGATTTAGTGCTTTAGAGGAACCACAGCAGAACAGAGAGCGTATTTCAACCATCAGGAGGTCCGATCGCTCTGGGATGTCAGAACGGCCGATTCTCCAATTCAAGAAGTGGCTTCGCCTGGCGGACCTGCTGAAAGATGAAGGCTGTCCAGTCCGCCTCTGTTTCCCACCTCGCCCCAAAGGCTTTTTCAGGGGATTGCTGCAGGAGTTTCTGTTGTTACTCAGCAGCTGTGTTCATTTCACGCTCAGGGTGGACCAGGATGCTCGGTGTCTCTCATCCTGTTTGTCCTTCAGCAGCACAGGAAGTTGCCTGTAGAGGTTGTCTGGTGCTCTTTTCAGATTCAGGTCCTGTCGGCATCTTCAGCCTATAAAGTCTGTGAACTAGTGGCTCACAGTCTGAAACGGTTGAAATGAGATTCAGCGGGATGAGTCTCGGCTGCAGACGTTCTTTATAACCAGGTCCGTCTTCTTATCTGATCATCAAGTATGAATTATGACCAAGAAAACAGATTCCTGAGCACAAGCCGCTGAGATGAGCCGCCTCTTCAAGGCGCCTAAAGCCAAAGTCACGTCTCAGTCTAGGCGGTTCATGTCTGGCCAAGCTGGTGTGTCTTCATTGGCAGTGTGTTCCTCACTATGTGGGGGTGAATACTGACAGGATCCTGGGAGCTGCGGTCGATGCTCCAGTACCTCTGAGGGTCAGTTTCTCTGAAATCACTCCTCTGCCATAGTTGATAAAAAGATTTAAACCTCAAGGCTGGCCACTGCAGTCTGGGATTGAAAACGGTGGTTCAGACAATATTGAAGGAGTTTTAAAGTACCGCGTTTGCTCATCCTGAGACCTAAATCCATGGACCAGTCAACGAATGCCATCTGCTGCCAATCAAATCGCCTGTGCACAGTGCGTGGCTTGTACCGTCCCTAAGGCGCTTCCAAAAACCGGAGAGGAACCGCTGCTCCTCTGCAGGCCGTTGATGAGGTTCAGCCAGTCAGATTCAGAGGAACCATTTTCTCTCTTTTGGTTTAGAGAATCTCTTAATGTTCTGAAAATTGTTTTAATGATATGATGATGAACTTCATTTAAAAAGAAACGACGTGCAACTCAACATAAATGTCACCATTTGATGCACTTTACTAGATTATTGTGGTAGCAAAAGGTAATTATCATCTGGAAAAATGGACATAAAATGGAATAATATCAATTTTTGTCATTTGTCAAGAGACTTCAGATACAAATTAGCTTTTGCTAATTTTTGGAGATTTTAAAATAAAATTTTCAGTTCTACTTTGTCAGAAGCTTTTTAATTTGAAACTCAGTGTTTGAATTTAAGTAACACGATTAGACCCGAATATTTCAGAAAATTTACCGTCAACCTTCTCTGAACGAGCCCCAAAGATTCAGGTGTTCATTTAAATCTTTCAGACTAATAGATGTGAAGGTACGATTACAAATAAATGTGTTTCCTTAAACCTTGTGTGGGTCTTCGAAGGGAGCGAGTATCCCAGCCTGCGAGCGTTGCCTCTTACCCAGAGGAATCTTCTCCAGCAGGTACAGGTAGCTGGCGAAGAAGTCACTCTGGAGTTTGTGGTGCAGGTGGAAGGACATGCTGTGGCGACACATGGTGTCGTCCGTCTCCTTCCAGCGGTCCCTGAACGCCTGATGAGCCGCCTTGAACTCAAAGTTTCCTGAAGAGTTGTTCTCATCTTCAAGCGTAATCTCCATGTTTCTTCCACCGGCGCTGGTCTCCAGAAACGGCGTGAAGGCGACTGACGCTTCGGATTCTGCAGCTCCTGTCTGGGACGGTGCTATATCTGTCCGGCTGAGTGATCAACACGCCTGTGGTGGTGTTCAGTGATCAGCAGAGATCTTTTTCACTCTGGACGTCCTTCCAGATCACCTGCTGGGAGGGAGGGAGGCTCAAAGCCCGGAGCTGAAACCTCTCCTGGCCACCAGGCATGCAGGAAGACGCGTCACTTCAGAGCTTAAAGGTTTGACATTCCCGTCCAGAACATGAGAATCCAACAGCTTGACAGTCATAACTTTAATCTGGACTTAAACTTTTGCGTGCTGCTCTAACCAGCAGCCTCTCCAGTTGCTCCTGTGAGTAAACGATGTTCCAGATTAAAATGCTTCATCTTCACTCTGCAAACTGTGCACAAATATGATACATTGTTTTATTGTGCCAGGACACTTACAGTAAGTCCCAAATGTGTGAAAATCTTTCACCTCTCTGCCCACCAAGCTGAGCTCTGCCTGGTTTCACTAACAGAACTGGACCAGCGCCGCAGTGGGGCTCATTTCAGCTCTGGAGCCTCAGACCTGCCCCGCCGATTACTATTAATCATGGAATTATAATCTTACATGTCTATAACTGTGCACTGCTAGATAAAGTCTTATATTTCATTGCATTTTTCTAAAATATTTATGTGTTTATGTGATCAATCCACCGTCATCATGGCTGCTCACAGGACAGAAATGAAAACAAAAACAGAAAGAGGAAACCGGGCCGTGTGGCCCAAACGTCCCGGTTCTCCCGGTTAGTGCGGGAACCGTAAAGATCCATAAATTAAAGCACTAAAAGCCAAATGAAACTCTCCTCCTATGGAAATGTATCAAACACAAGAGAGTGAATGTTTGCATAAACTTTCCCAGTAGGTCAGTAAAATAAGCTGTTTATTTATCTTTAACATTTCCAACATATATTTTGTCTTTGGATCAATTTGCTTCCTCTGACGGTCTGTTTGCTCCGTCCAGCCAACCATCCCGACACGTTCATGTTTTTATTGGGACTCGGGGAAACTTCAGTCTGAGGAACACAGGAGCGCCTCAGGGCCTCTTTCCTCACATCTCTAGATAAATACATGAAATAAGTCTTTACAGCGCATAAATAGTTGTACTGACATTTAGTGTTGAGGTCTTTTATCATTATGCAGTGTGGTCACAATAAAAAAACTATAGACTTTTATTCTTTTGCACTTTGAATCTCAAAACAAATGTGAACCTATAAAAATGAAATCTAGAGATACTGCAGTGGAAATAAATCTGTTGTAAAACAAAAAAGAATTATTTTGGTGAAAAAATACCAAAGTTAAACTTGAAAGATTTAAATTTCACTCTGATTCTGTAACTTCATTAGAAAGCTCGTCTTTAGTAGATCAGCGAAGCTTCGATGTGAATTCCTAACAAAATATTCTGCATAAACAGACTGAAGGAATTCATGAGTTTTTCTGTCTGCAGTTTTTCTGCTGCAGCAGCAGCAACAGGCTGCAACCAGAATATGAGAAGATCTGCCTGAGAAACGATCCGGTGTTTCTGACCCTTCACACAAATGTCTCTGCCTCGTTCCTGACAGCCTGCGGATAAAATTAGAGCGGTGACATCAGCTGAGCCGATCCGCCGTAGGCCGGACCGGCTCCACCTGGTGACCGGCTGCTTCAGCTAAATACGCTCAATGAATCAAACTAAATATTTTATTTTGCTTGGTTGGCTTTTAATTTCTGATGTTTGTTTTTGTTTGATAGGAGATGTTTTATGTTTTATGGTCAGAGACGCCGCCTCTGAGAAATCACCATGACGATTTTGCCTGGCAACAGGAGCCAGTGACATACAAACCATCCTGCACACAGGAAACAATTGAGTACGAGTGGCAGAGAAACATCCCACAGCATGATTCTGCCACCACCATGCTGGACAGTTTGATTATTTCAGTCTCAACTTGTCTTCTCTGAACAAATAGATCAATCTTCGTCTTTGATGTTAACAAATACATTTTTATAGTCTTTTTTTTTTAGTTTTCAGACTTTCAGTTCATGCTGATGTGAGGCTGGTTCACATTTCAGGATTTTAAAGAACTCCAGTCTGAGCAGGACGGCTTCGGTCAGTTTGTTTCCTCCGATATTCTCAGCAGTGATTTGTTTACTGAATCCATAAAGTAGAAGCAGGGCAGCAGAAACTACAGCATGGCTCCTGGTGGAGAAGAACCAACTCTCTGAACCCACAGAGAAACTCCGGCCATGAGCAGCGACCCGTTTTGACCTTTCCTCAGGTCAGCCGCTGTGTTGACCTCCTGACCTCGGTCTGCAGCATCCATCATCTCTACAGACGCATTTCAGCCTAAAAGAGGAACAGTTTTACAGAATAACATCCAGGGCCAGTTTCTGCTTTACTCTGACATCCCGCCACTGTCCTGTCGCTCATCAATCCTTCCCACGGCTCCCTAAACGGTCCATCCATCCAGAAGTCCCCACAGAGGCCTGTACGCAGTATTTAGAGCAGATATGCATGGTTTCCTTTTTTAATGTTTTCTTTTTGACGTAGAGAGAAACATGGACACACCTGCCACCCTTGAAACATCAAATTTAATTGAAAATATGGTTCACAGCAATACCTGAAAAAGAAAAGACTCCAACTGTAGCAATGGCCTAGTTAAAGTCTAGACCTCAGCCTAACCTTTAGAGACAAGAAGAGGCCAAGATTCATCTGGAGGGTGAGATCTGTTGACTGTTTTTATATTATCAAGATTAAAAGGAAATAATTTTCGATCCTGGTAGAGACGAGATCATTTCCATGATCTCTCTTAAGTATTCTTAAAAGAGGGTTACTGTGGGCTCCAATAGCCAAATTCAGAATATCTTGCTGTGCTACATAGGAATAAAAAAATGGCTGATGTGAAATTAGTCCTGAATATCCTGAAGAACATTTTCAAGCCAAGCAGAAATGTTTCCCTAAAACTTGCATGAAACTCTGGAAAACTATAATTAATCAAGTTATTGTCCCTACTTTATAATCGTTCTCGTTTTTATGACCACTGAGCCATGTTTTTATTCTGTTCTCAGGTTTCTGACCGCTGAGGTAAAGAGGCGTTTATAACAGCCACACCAGCAGGGGGCAGCAGCGGTCACTCGCTCTGTTTCCGTTGATAGCCTCCCTGGCAACAGGCTGAGCTGACAAACAACATCCGCCCGGTCTGCGTCCTTCTGCTCCTCATCGCCTCCAGGTGAAACTAATGAGAGGATTTTCTCCTCCGTGACGCCGCAGTTTGATGTCTGACATGGAGAACCCGCCGGCCGGAGAGCCGCGCTGTGTGAAGAGGTGAGACCGGAAACATGACGTTACTGCTGGGCTCGGTTCGGTTCGGGTACCGCCTCACAGATGTTAAATAAGATGTGATTATATCTGAAGCTTCTCTCTAAATAAATATGATTTTTTTTTACGTGTAAAAGCTTGTTTTGGTCCGTGAGAAGCGAGAAATTGTCTCAAACGTGTTACCATGGCAACAGCAGGTGTAATCGGTGGCGTGGTTCTTCCTGCTTTTTGATATTTAATTTAGTTTTTCTGTGTTGCTGCATCCGAGAATAATAATAACAATAATAATAATAATAATATTATTATTATTAATAATATTATTATTAATAATAATATTATTATTAATAATATAATAATAATATTAATAATAATAATATTATTAATATTAATTAATACTATT